TGGGAGACAAATGAAAGGAAGTGGGAGACAAGCCAGCCGCAAACCCGCGACCACAAGCACCCAGCCTGGGAGACAATGAAAAGAACTGGGAGACAAATGAAAAGAAGTGGGAAAGGAAGTGGGAGACAAGCCGGCCGGGAACCCAACCACAAGCACCGAGCCTGGGAGACAAATGAAAGGAAAGGAGACAAGTGAAAAGAAGTAGGAGACAAATGAAAGGAAGTGCGAGACAAGCCAGCCGAGAACCCGACCACAAGCACCCAGCCTGGGAGACCAAAAATGAAAAGAACTGGGCGACAAATGAAAAGAACTGGGAGACAAATGAAAGAAGTGGGAGACAAATGAAAGCACGTGGGAGACAAGCCAGCCGCAAACCCGACCACAAGACCCAGCCGGACAAATGAAAAGAAGCGCGAGACAAATGAAAGGAAGTGGGAGACAAGCCAGCCGGGAACCGGACCACAAGCACCCAGCCTGGGAGACAAATGAAAAGAAGTGGGAGACATATGACAGGAAGTGGGAAAAGAACTGGGAGACAAATGAAAAGAAGTGGGAGACAAATGAAAGGAAGTGGGAGACAAGCCAGCCGCGAACCCGACCACAAGCACCGAGCTTGGGAGACAAATGAAAAGAACTGGGAGACAAATAAAAGGAAGTGGGAGACAAGCCGGCCGGGAACCCGACCAGACCATCCAGCACCAAGGTGACCATTCTTTAAAGCATTGAGAACCCCTAACAGTAAACTGTTTGGGGAAAAACAACAAAACGGTGCCCCAAAACGGACTCGCGCCAGGGATCCATAATGGACCCAAAGTTCACCTCATCCGGTGCATGGGGGATCGCCATCCGGTCCCGATTAGGGTCCGAAAACGTGGCCGCCAGCTTCTCGACGCTTCTCGGAGACACCGGGCTCCCCATTGTGGGCTGCGGAGCCCGAAGCGCCCGAACAGCCCGGGTGGCGGAGCAAGTTCCCACGTCGCCGAGCGCTGAACGGATGCTGCGGGAAAAGGAAAGGTGAACAGAAGCTACTAGAAGCTACTAGTAGCTAGAAACTTCCTTGGGAATCGTTTCCTGTAGTAAAAAGAAGCGACTAGAAGTGAACAAGTCTAGTAAGCCTTATTGTTCACTTCGTTGCGATCTGTCGGATCCTGAAGATCCGTTGCACGTAAGACAAAGGTAGCCATGGCAATGGTTTCCATGACAAACTCTCCCCAAAGACATGGTCAAAATCCATACGTCTCGGAGGTCTTCGCAGTGGCTCGTTGGTTGATCGCGACGTGACGTGCCTCCGGATCTCACGGGACTCACCACCCTTGGCAATCTTTTCGAAGGGCTTCTCACCATTGAACTTCTCCAGAAGGTTGAACAGTGGCACCTGGCCGAACGAGAATGAGAAGGCAAAGCGTCTCGGAGGCATTCCAACAGAGGAGGCACCGACGCCGAGGCACCTGAGCTTCTCAGTGCTTCTCGGTGCTGCTCGACTTCCCCAAAAAGGTCCATTCGCTGACTCAACTTGCCCAAGCTCAGTCGGGTTGATCCACCCAGCTGAGCAACCAGGCTTGGGAGTAAATCCACCCAAAAGGCACATCAAGAGTGAATGTCTTTCGAGCATCAGAACATGCACCGTGAAATCGCCAGCTGCCTGCGGAATGAAGTCCAAATTGTCCTTGAAGAGAGGTTCATCCGGCAATTCCTGTCATGCGAAAAGAAATGGCCAAGGTGGCCAAGATGGAGGGAATTCTACATACTCCTTCCGTGTCAGACTGCTATATGATGGCATCAAGAAAGAACTCATTTTGGCGTCTCAAATTGCGCTGTTGGTCAAAAAGAGGACCTCAGAGGAACAGCCAATGCCGTCAGACCTGTAGCCTATCTTCTAGGTATCTGCATCAATCTACACAAAGTTCCAAGACCGCTTTTGAGGACGTGTCGGGCACTCCAAACTGCCCTGAAACCGAATATATAGCCATGCACGACACAACCGCCGTCGTCCGGGGAGGGTTCCGCGCCAGCGTCATGAACATGGTTTTTTCTTTGGACTCGGTGATCCGGCTCTCTTCGTGGGCGGGGCACAGCTTCACCTGGCGCCGACGAGCCGACTCCGACGGTAGCGGCGAGCCGCGCTTCCACTCTGTCGCGCGAAGGACCACTGGATAACATTGGTCTTTGAGTGGCTGATCCGAGCTGGTAGCTGAACAAATGCTCACAAGGCAAAGCATGCTTCGCTCCAGCCACAGAGCGCGATTGAAAAAAGTGCCATACCACAGCTTGGCTACACCAGCACTGCTGCTTGCGCCTGCTTTTGCATAGGGCAAACGCCTCTTTTGTTTCTCAACTTCAAGCAGGAACATCTTACCGCCGAATGATATACAAAGGAATGAAAAAATATACATGCATAGACCCCAAACAGTTTCAAAACGATTCGCTTTGACCAATATTAGTCAAAAATCGACTTCTTGGTACGCCCTACCTTTACGCAAGAGCAAACTGCTTCATCAATGAATTTTTGTCGGCATTGACATCGCTATTTGTTCGGCCACACTCCTCTCCAGTAAGCCGGACCACAGAGACCAGCCACAGAGTTCAGGGGCGCGGCCAAGACAAGGACAAGGCCGGGACACAGAGCCCAGCCACAGAGTTCAGGGGCGCGGCCAAGAGGAGGACAAGAGGAGGACAAGGCCTGGACACAGAGCCCAGCCACAGAGGACAAGAGGAGGACAAGGCCCGGACACAGAGCCCAGCCACAGAAAACAAGAGGAGGACAAGGCCTGGACACAGAGCCCAGCCACAAAGAGCCCAGCCAAGAGGACAAGAGGAGGACAAGGCCTGGACAGAGCCCAGCCACGGAGCCCAGCCACAGAGCCCAGCCACAGAGTTCAGGAACGCAACCAGTGTGACCAGCTCTTCTGTTTCTAAGATAGAACCCCAACAGTAAACTGCTTGGGGAAAATCTCACCGCCGCATGATATACAAAGGAATTAAAAAATATACAAGCATATACCCCAAACAACTTCAAAAAGATTCGCTTTGACCAATATTAGTCAAAAATCGACTTCTTGGTACGCCCTACCTTTACCCAAGAGCAAACTGCTTCGTCAATGATTTTTGTCGGCATTGACATCGCTATTTGTTCGGCCACACTCCTCTCCAGTAAGCCGGACCACAGAGACCAGCCACAGAGTTCAGGGGCGCGGTCAAGACAAGGACAAGAGGAGGACAAGACCCGGACACAGAGCCGGGCCACAGAGCCCAGCCACAGAGTTCAGGGGCGCGGCCAAGACAAGGACAAGAAGAGGACAAGGCCCAGCCACAGAGGACAAGAGGA